TTTGAGTTTACATCTTCACCTTCACATGCATCACCCTGCGCGCTCGCCCTCTTCCAGTGGCGATCTTTCCGGTCCACTCCACCGAGGAGGAGATCTTCCGCCAGTCGGCCTCCGGATCGGTCCGGGCCTTTTGGAGTTGGTTCTGGATTCGCCGGACGTGTTGGTTTCTTCTGGAGCAGCAGGAGTGCAGAAAAAACTGGCTGGCTTTTGGCACCTGAGCTACTTCGGGAGTGAAGCATCTTTGGAATGACACGTCTTGTCCACATGGCCTAAAGAGTCTTAAAGAGCCCCGAGGCATAGCCCCTGGGCCTAAAAAGAACCGATTAAGGGCCACACGCAACTTAGATTCTCCGAGGGTTGTCCTGCCCACCACTACCAGGGTGCTTAACTTCCGCCGGGTCTGCTTGCAGAAGAACATGGCATTGCGATTGTTTTTTCACGGACATCATATGGACATAATTCATCTATACAATATTTATTTATACGCAGACCTCGTACGGTGTACATGAGTGGTTAAGATGTCTCGCGTTTGGAGTCCAACTCACTTCGACAGGTTGCTTCCGAGGAAGTCTCACTGTTCTCCCGTGCCGAGCTGCACGTTCAGCGTCCGGGGGCCTGTCATGGTAGATTTGGGGGAACCCCTGTGTATCGCAGGGGCTTCCACCGGACCGTGATGTGCTTTCTTGGCCAGCACCAAAAAAATGTTTGTCCCATGTGCATGGCTATGGTGGTTTCAGGAGTGGATGCCCAAATAGGCATAAACATTCTTTGGGTTGAACGACTTGCATGTTTGAGTCCAAGAGTGAGTTGCTGAAGTTGCTTCGACCAACTTATTCCACGGCTTTTGAATCACAAAACAATCCGCTTCGACGCAAGCAACATGCACTGTCGAACAATCAGCACGCACTCCCACGCACACACTCTGACATTGGTTTTCAGTTAACTCAATTCCCAGGGAAAAATGGCGATGGAACCGAAAGGTGAGAGAGTCGGCGCAATTGTATTGTTTAATCAAAGGTTGTTCGCACATCTGCAGCTTTAAACAGTTATTAAAATTGCAGGTACGCTTACACGGGTCTCCTCTGAGACCCCGGTGCCCCCCGCATTCAAACTCTTAGTTACAGAGGTTGACACGCACACACACACACTATCCCTTTTTTTGGTTGAACACTTCGGAGCTGGTGCACATCCGAAAAGCGGTCCATCTAGTCACTGTTGGTGATGTTGGTGGTTGTGGTCCCATATTCTTGATTTTTTATTGCTTAGCAACCACGAGTCAGCAGAAAGATCAATATATAAGCCGTTTATTGTGAAAGTGAATATGACAGACCAATCCAAGGTAAATATGTCGACCCTCCAGGATGGATGTTTCTGGTCATTTTTGGGGTGGGTGTCATCAACAAATCATGTTTTTTCGTCCTGTACCCTCTCAGGGCGCGCGCCCATTGGATTGCCTGCTAAGCTACGGCTGGCAACGACCTGAGCTGTTTGTTCAGGGCTAGCTGGTAGATTCCATTGCCTTGTCGTGGGCCCCTTTGGGTGGACTGGTTGCCACTACAGGAAATTACATCAATTCAAACAGGTTTTTATCCCATGTTGGTGTCGAGGGGCTGGGGAGGTTCCAACCTGGAATAACACTTAGCACGCCCCCTGACGTTCGACTCGCACTGTCAGACTGTGTGGAGCCATGCTTGTTTGATTCTTCAGGCCTTTCGACGTATTCTCAGCAGCCACCAGTTTGCACTCCCAGTCGAGGGTTGTAAAATGTAGGTGGGTGGCACATGTGGTGGAACAATCTTGGATCAGGATCCACGGGTGGTTTTAGGAGTTGGCATCAGGGCACCAGACCTTTATGGCACATACTCCTGATATTCTGCTCTTACAGTTTCTACGTTGTTTGATGGTGCAGGTTTGGTCCTTAATACCACAGCTTTGCTGCGTGAAGGGGTGCATTTGCTCAAGCAAGTGCAGAACCCGTGAAGTTGCATGCAACAAACAGCAAGGGACCAGACCAGACATCATGTGTATATATATATATTATATATGTTTTGTGGGTTTGAAATGTTTGAATCTATCGGTGTTGCTTTGACATGTTCTGACATCATTGACATTCCATTATTTTGATACCGGTGATCAGGGTTGTTTCAAGCTTCATTGCTCGCATGCATGGTTTGCTTGGCGTGCAGGACGTGTTCTCATGGGTAGGTCGAGCGGACTACAGGTGAAGGTCTTCAATGGCTTTCATCCAGACAATGCCAAGGCCATTTTCCCGCAGGCTGGTATCGAGTCAAAACCTGTGTGGTATATGATGTACTTATTTACACGGGGTGGGATGCTGTGGGTTGAAGGCCGAGTGGAACATAGGTGCTTTTATGAAGGAAGAAACCAAGGGATTACAAGGAATTCGCAAAGAAGAAAACACAGGCAGGTAAGGGTAGCCTTAATAAGGCCCTCCTTATTGAACAGGGTTTTCTTATATATATATACTCCCTTCTTCCATCGGTCGAGCCCGGCAGAGCAAGCTGAGAGTGCACCGGTGATGTGCCGCGGTACTCATCCGGGACTTGAGATGAAGAACGCGAAGCTCAAATGGGACATGGTTGTGAAAGAAACTTGGAAGGCTTGCGTTTTATTTTTTTTCAGGTCCATGAGTGTTTCAAAACCACCTCGCTCCATACAAACTTTGATTCCTTAAAACGTTGCGCATTCTTCGGGGGGAAGCGGCTTGGAGTTCGACCACCCGTGCCTTATCAGGCTGCCGGAATCCTGCTGCTGATGCATGTCTCGGCGCGCAAGAGCCAGACAGCGCACAAGGGCCACGGCGAGAAGGAACGGCGGGCTGAAGCGCTGCACCCGTTCCGCGCATTGCGCTGCGTTGTTTGGGCAATGTCCCCTCGTTGGCCCGTTTCCCTAAGGAAGGGCAGCCTGGCATCAAGAGATGTTGTGTCGGGGTGCTTTTTCAGTTTGTTTTGAGTTTCCTTCCTAAAACAGGCCCTAGCTCTTGTTCAATAGCAGCGAGGACAACATGTTTCAAGCGCTTGCACCGAGTGTTTTGTCCTCGCACCCAACGTGGTCAGCCACGCAAGGCTTTGACCTCGTTTTTTTTTTGCCAAACATTCACACAAGCCACCAGGACTCCAAAAAGGGATATGTAGTTTTGGGAGACACACGGTAGTTCAAACTCAAACGCAGTTCTGTGAGATGTGGACAGCCGTAGACGTCGCAGGAGTCAGATTGGTCTGAGCCCTTGGTAGATCAGACTGACTTGGTCCAGCAGTTGGTGGAGGACTGGAGGGCGAAGAACGCGCATGTGGCACACGTTTGTGTTTGTGTGTGTGCGCGTTTATGTGTGTATATATATATATATTTATTAACCTATTTTTTATATATACTTGGACCCCCTGACCACCTACTTATTTCTAGGCAATCCAGATTTCAAGGCGAAGCCTAGAAACACGCAAGTGGAGAAACTTTATGAAATTATCAACCCTTTGGACAAATGTGGGCGCTCAGGATTTCTAGAAAAAAGTAAGCTCACAAAGGCTCTAGGTATATATAATTATATATATCCAATATCGCACAGTGGCTCCATGGTGTATATGTTGAGGGCAAGTGTTTGAGTCAACAACGAGAGAGGCAGAATCCATCAGAAAAGAAGGACAAGGACATCCTGCAGTGTTTGCCTTAAGGTGATTTGGACAAACTATCAGGGTCAAGGCTTGAGCAAATTCATTCGCGGGAGAAGTGCGCTATGGCTGATAATGGCTATTTTTTGGTTTGCACCCAAAAGCTGCCCATCTCGCTAAACGATCTTTGGTCTACACCATACCTGGACTAGCAACCACCAACACAAGACTGCTGTCCTTTTCAGATTTGCACGACTCCCGGAAAAATAAATCCATGTAATGGAAAGAACCCTCTTCTCCCTCCTTTCACCGATGAATCTGGGACCTCACCTCATGGTTTTCCCCCAGCTCCATCAGCTCACAGGTAGAGCTGCTGCTGGACTCGACGGTGGAGGCACGTTGGCTGAGGACGTTCACTGCTTTAGACCCTGTGTGGTGTGGAGCCCCAAGGAACGCCCGGCACGGAGCCAACGAGTGAGGGGGGAATTGATATAGGCGCGCAGTCAGTATGATGATAGCACACGTCAAAGTAACATTTTTATATGGCTTATGATGTCTTATGATATACTGTATCATGATATATGTCTTATTATATATATATGTGATTATATGATCTATGTTTTTTTTGTACATATATTAGTTTGCGATATTTTTTGTTCAACACCAGGAGCTGACTATTTTTAAGTCACGGGTTGCACTGTTGTTGCAAAGTCACGGTTCGCCTATATACGTGAGCCCATTATATCCATTCTAGGCACAGACAAGTCGACAGTGTGGATCCCTGCGCTGGCTGATCATCGTTCGACTGGATCTAACCCAGATTCGTCCGACGGTGGGTGGCGTACAGGCCCATACTGATATGCAGCGGGCCGTTTTTCTCGGCGGTCCTTCCTTCGGCTTTAACGCATTTCAACCATTACTTCAATGATAATGTGTTCCTTCCTTGCAACTTGGAAAGTGAGAGCACAAAGTTCTCACAATTTTATGGCACAAGCTCTTTGGATCTTAAGAGGGTTGTGGGACACCACGGCTTCTTGCAATAAAACCCACCCTTGAAACACATATTATTTATGCTTTGGTGGTCCAACCTTTGCTTGCCTCTATGTTTTGTACTGAATACATCATTTCAGTCCAACACTAGCATACAAAAGTGTAGCAGATTACACGGTGCTATGTGGCTTATTAAGTGCGCAATCCAAAAACCATCGGATGAGCAGTCTTGTTGGACTACTCATGACAAATCCATCATTGTGTGTTTGTCCTTCATGTATTGCATAAGATGGTTAAAGTCTGTGTGTGTGTGTATGTTTAAATGGTCTCCAGCTTTGATACCCATTCAGGTAACCAGCTTCAACTGTTCCGTTTCATGGTCTATTTTCAACAGCGTTCTTCGGTGCATCCCTCCCTGCGGCGCGGTGGGCATAGCACCAGGGCGGCGGGTGGAGCCATGGGATGAAGCGAAAACGGGAGACGCCATGGGAGCGACAGGTGGGCGTCGTCCAACCGAGTTTTGTTGATGTTTCGTGGGCTGTCACTGGTTAATGGCAAATTCTTGAACGTACCAACAGTCTCACCAAAGCAATGATGCTAGATTTCAACATTGAATGTTTTTTGCTGGGGATGTTTGTGCAGAACAGATCACACCGGTTTGCATTAGGGCCCCAAAAACCACACACCCCCAGGTGCATGTTCCCGGCCGCTTCGTTGCTGCACAGGGCTTGCGTGGTGTGCGATATTTGGTGCTGGATGAGGCTGACCGCATGCTGGATATGGGTTTCATGCCCCAGGTACGTGCCACTCGGTGGCAACGTCAACGTCACTCTCTGTCACGACACAGCGATCCCACACTGTCCAAGGAGATTGTTGGGCTGATGGTGCCCAAGAACCAACGACAGACCTTGCTTTTCTCCGCCACCTGGCCATCCGCAGTGCATGCCTTGGCAGGTGCTGGAGCCCCCGAGGGGGCTGGGCATTGGTTGGGGTGGGAGTCCATGGGGTTTCGGCTTGAAACCCACTCGGAGCCTATTAGAATTGGCCCTGGAAGAGCCATGATAAATGTGCGTTGCATTATATATGTGTATAGATGTTTGAGATTGTTTCAGTTTCCTTGTTCAAACTTTCCTGACGCCCGAGCACACGCAGCAAGGCCAGCAACATTGTAATTGTTTTTTTTCGTGAGGAGACGTGCACTCTGTCATATGAGCAGGTTGTTGCTGATTGACGCTCAGTGTTGACAAGATGCAGATTGGATGATGTACACTGTTCGTGCTGAACCTAGTTCAGGCGGCTAGAGAACGGAAGTAACATGGAACATGTGGAAACTACATGATATTACTGCTATGCAGAATGGGCTGCCGAACACATACGGTTTGCCAAGCAACGCACAGAAAGTGAGTAGCAAGGAGAAGTTTTTTCATTGGGCTGGAGAGTTTGCTTCGCCTCATTCTGGACCAGCGTTCCATCCACGAAGACGTTGCGCTTTGGAACATGGTGGAGCACAAGACCCTATATCATAGCATTTATTCGGTGCTGTTGGATTTAATCACGAAAGGTAGCTTGAGCTACCTGAGTTCTCCTTGCTTTAGCAAAAATGTATTACAATCAGGAGTTGGGATTGTGCATTGACTTTGGTCCTGTAAGAGTTGATTCTGTTCGTCGGAGGGGGGGGGGGGGCCCCCCCCCCCGGATCAAATCCCCCCTGCGCCGG